ATACGTACAAACCTACCCTCTTCCAGACCAGTCGCGAATGCTCTCAACCATACACTATTAATTATTCAAGTTAACCAGATAATAAAGCGCTAGCTTTGCCAGGCAAGCCGGTTTTTCAGCTACTTCCTCTCCACCAGAATGGCTTCCTCTTGCTTCTGTCTTCCCTTGTGCGGCTCGTCGATGGTCTCGGGCTTCAGCGCTCCACGTGCGCCGCCTCATAGGCTTGGCTAGACGGGCGTCCATTCAATGCACTCGATTGCTTTCATCTTCTGTCGGCTCTTTGGCGGGCTCCGAGTCCCTGTGCAAAGTGTGACAGCAGTGCGGTCACCAGTCCTGGGCTGGCATTTCTGTACCTGCCAAATTCCGCAATTATTGAGGCTTCTTTTGTCGCTAGGCTGACTTGTACTTCTTGCCTAAGCGCATATTTAAGCATCCCACTTTTCCGCTATCTTTTCACAGCCAGATGACGCTTCGTCCGGGCAACCCTCATTGCTACCCTTTTCCACAAGGTCCCATTTGCTTGTATTAATCCTTCCTTTCTGTTTTTGCATAAGCAAGACTGACAATCTAATTGATGACTTCCTAATCCCAGTTGGGTATTAAAATATAATTCAGACAGCCAGTCGGAACTTCAATAGCGTTGCCACGTGATGTCAGTGCCACTGCCATGCGATTAATACAATTGCCATTCTGTCTGGCGTGTCGTTCCTCTTCTAACTAACAGAGCACTGGCAAATGTAGAAGGCAGGCCTAATTGCGAACGACCCTCTCCAACAGAAATTGGATGAGCTAACGGACTAGTCGAATTCAGGTGTCTGACTGTAGCGAACTGCGACCGAGATTTGAGCTTAGGCACTTGATTATTGTCTTTGGGATAGTTTACAGTGACTAATCATCTCGAAGGAGCTCAGTGTAGCGCAACTTATACGGTTTGATGCAGTGCTTGTTAAGGAGAAAGCGGACAGCACCAACAATAAAACTTATTTGAAAAATGTGTTTATACCAAATAAGCCGGTTTCAAAATGATCGCTAAGACTAAATCACGAACTCGAGCCACCTAATTTCGCTTGAGATTATAGATGTGCTGATAATTAAGGTTCCCACAATTAAATAAGGGTAACACCTCAAAATGTTCTTGAATTCTTGGTTTTATAAGTGAGTTTTTGAGACTAACAATAGATCTGATATAAGGGCTGTATTCACTATATTTCGTGTAAGGTTATGCAGGAACAGTAGTTTAATTTACCCATAATAATGTGTTGGCCTAATGCTTCCATTGAATTTCGCATAACCTTGCTTCCCGAAAAGTATCCTCATCCAAACAGGGGTGGACTCTAGTCTTGACCTCTTCTGAACTGGTATCATCCCACAGCGGGACTCGAACCCGAGCAGTGTAGTGTACAGTCTCGACACGCTAACCTCTATGCCACAATTTTACAAGTGCCCTTGGGTCACAGCGTAGAAGGGAAATTCAAGTCCCACTGTGGGTGCTGATGAGACCAGATCAGGCGAGGTCGAAACTGCAGTCCACTCCTGTTTGGATAAAAGTATATATTTTGGCAATTAAGACTATATTAAATTTACTGGCAGCATGAGGCTTACACATATCAACTACTATTCCTTCATCACCTTAAACGAAATAGGGGGAATACAACTCTTATGCTAATGAATTGTCTCTCAAAAGGCTTTCTTAAGCAGGATAGGCCCCTTCGAAAAATCTGCCAGTTGTTATGACTATTACTTATTTGGTAGATAGCATTGTCGACAGTTGTAATGGCTAATACAGTGTTGCCTCATCAACAATGGTCTCACAATTAAAATGGGAATTCAAACAGTCGCATCCCTTCTGTGACCAATTGGTACACTGGTGGTGTGGTGGAGTGGTACCATCAACGCAGAAACCACATGAGCCAGCTTCGAATCATGCTGGGGATGTTGATGTGACTCGAACGAGGTCAAAACTGCAGGCCAGCTTAAATAAGAAAGCCCTATCGAAGGCGAAGTTGAGGGACGTTTAATGTCGCTCTGGGACAGTCTAGTCAGTGGTTGTTGGAACTTCAGTCGTCGGTACTTGTATCACCTAAAGTGACCTACGAGGACCTGAGTTATTGTTTAAACATTTTGTAATGATGCTTCCAGGCTGGTGGAAGCCGAACAGTATTAGGGTCAATCTGGAAACTGAGCTATACGACCGACAATTGCTGCCAATCAAATTACACTACTGGAGCTCTTAGTTCATATCAGCCGCAAGGAGAGCCAAAGTGGACGGCCGAGTAAGGTTAAAAATGCTTAATTAATAAACTTTGTATTAGTGTTGTCCTCTTGATTCTCTTCATTGAACCAATTTGATGTTACCTAGTTTTAACAATTGGGACTTGAAGATGGCATCTGATGCTGTCTCAGTTAATCTCACAATCATGCTTTCTCTAGATCTCCTCGTTCTCCACGGGAAAGGCTAATCTGATGTGGAGAACTAGTGCTTTCAAAGAATCTATTGGTTCATAAGATTTTGAGCACACTTCCATTTCGAGGAGTTTCTTAGTTCGGTCCTCTTAGCCAGCTGTCTTTTGGTTATACTAAAACATTTTGGTCGAGGTTATCTTCGCGACAATCTCTTTTGGTTTGGTGAAAACGTGCAGAGATTCCGTTTCTCATGCCACTTGACAGATATTATCAGACCAGGGTACCATTCGTTCCCAAAATAGTACCCTGGTCTGATGCTATCTATTACCCGATAAATCTTTGCGATATTTATGCCTATTCGGTTAGTTTATGTCACTTTCAGTTTATAAATAGGCTTGCTGGACCAACCATTAAATCTAATATAAGAACTGTTTTCACCCTAGTTCGTCTAAGGTGGTGAAGTGGTTAACGTGCCGAGATTATAAGCTACACTACTCGGGTTCGAGTCCATCTGGGGGTGCTGATGAGCACTAGATGAGGTAGAAGCTGCAGTCCATTCATTCCTGGATGAGAATTCCTTTTTGTAAGCAAGGCTATGTAAAATTCAATGAAAGCATGAGAACTACTCATTTCATTGAAGTACAAGTCAACTACCGTTCCGTAATCCCCTTAAACGAAATAGGATGGATACAGTTCTTATATTAATTCAGGTTTTAGTTAACTTTGGAAACATGTGCAAATTTGGTCTTGTAGGTGTGTGATATGAGTACGTAAGGGTACAAAACCAACAGTATTAGCTCCAAGTAATTAAAACAAAGCATATAAACAGTTCTCCATTATAGGTTTAATGACCATTTTTCGACCATCATTTAGATTGCGTAATTCAGGATACCTGCCTGGTAAATTGATAAGCTTTTTGTATGAACCCAGATGTACATTAATTGTGACTGTAATCAAGACTATAACTAAAAAGACTAGTTGAGTTAACACCTTGTTCTAGCTGACATGATAAGGCTATTACCTTGGCACGAGTTATCTTTATTTAACTTCCTACTTGAACTCCTAACCATCAATGTATTTCCTATTCTATTCTCTTTCCTATGCTATTTAATTTTGGGCTTAGTTACAGGCATATTATAATCATAACAACAATTTAATGCGTTGCTTCTGTTTCCGCTACCTCAGAT